CTCTGAAAAAATAGGTATGAAGGGCAGGACATACTTGGACATATTCTGCAATCCTATTATTAGAAAGTAAAACAAAGGACAAATTTACACATATCTACAAGCGTGGAAGAAAAGTGTTGATGATTGTATGATTGGTGACTTGAAGAACCAGCAGAAAATAAAAAGGTTGAGATGGATATTAGCAAATAGCAACATCAAGACGGAACTGAAACCCTGTGAATATCCCCAGAACGGACAATAGCTGTTTATCAAAATTACAGTGTTGCTTGTTGTAATGTACAGAAGTCTTACCTTGCTTTATTCATCTCTCTGTGTATGATGTTGAATGAAGTAATGTGTCTTCTAAAACTAAATCATCTTATATATCATTTGTTTGATCCATGACAGTTTACCAGCTGGTAGATTTTCCTGCAATTGTGATGAAGGGAAAAATACAGGAAGTAATCTTGAGTGGAGTGTTAAGTCTTACCAAAAAGAAATAGGCATTGTTTCTGCCTCGTAAAGCTGATGGTATTGCCCACAACGGCAGGATTTGTGTCAAAGAAATGTACTCTGACTTGCTGTAATACTGGTACATCACTGCTAGTTTGTGCTGGCACAGCAGCTGCTGTCAGTGCTCAGCTCTTGGGATGCAGTTCCAGAAGGTTAGTGGCTGACATTATTCATGCTCTCTGTGTAGGAAAGGACTAATTGTCACCTTAGTACAAAAGAAAGATTGAGGGTTGTTTTGGGTTTGTTTTGTTTTTTTGCAGGTCTTTGTTGCAGTAGAAATCCAAACATGTTACGTGAAAGCTGAAGCAAGTCTGTCAGCAATTCTGTACAAAACTGCTTTGATTTTCTACATTTTCTGTTTCTTACTATATTGAAGAGTACGGAGCTAGATCCTTCTTGGATTTTTTTCAGTGGAGTCAAAGATGGGGAAGGCTGTAAATTCTGGTCTTGGGGGGAAGTAGGTTCTTTTTTGTATACTGGAAGTGTTTTGTAATAATTGGCTCTGTGTTCAGAAATAGTGACGTTACGGCTCATATGTGGCATGTAAATAGCAAAACTCAGGCTTCCAAAGTAACATTTTTACCTCTGTAGTAGTCGCTAATTTCAGGCATACCCAATATTACTGAGTTCTGATAAAATAGATTTCTTTGAGCGGTGTCCCTGGAGCAGGGAAGTTAACCATGTTCAGAACTCTCCTAAAAAAGATAAATTTGTCAGAAAGAAGGACTTGAATAACCTTGAGCTTATGGCTTAGACATAAAAATCAGGTGGGTCTTCATAAAGTCATGCTGCACTTGTTCTTTTTTTTGTATAACTGACATTGTATGTTGTTTATTTTGTGTAGCCTCATGCCCTTTTCCTATTGGACAAGTAACGTGTTATTCTCGTGGAAATAATGAAGCAGAAAGCCTCAAAGGAATTTTTTTTTTTTCAGTGAGACTGCAGTATTCTATCATATGTTGTGTAGGTGTTGCTTTTGTGATTGCCCCAGAAGTGATAGTGTGCCATGTGTGAGGAAATGTAGTCTGACCTGCTTCTTCTGATGTGCCAGGCAGAGGACATAACTGCAAGAGGCCATGCCTCTAGCATCAGCTCTGGGAATATTTCATTAAATTTGCAAGGTTCAGTTTTTCTGTTTTTAATAGAAACAGTGCAGTAGTTCTTTCCCCACAACTACAGAAAGAAGGGATGCAGGGGAGAATAAGGAGAAGTAAAAACTTGATAGATATGTTTGATCTTTGAGTTTGGAGAAGGGTGGTATCCTGAGAGCAAAACAAATATTAATGCCTATTAGCAGCCATGAACTTGAAACAGTCTGTGCAAAACTGCACTTGTCCCAGATTTTACTAGTTGTGCTTTCTGCAGTTCTCCTTCCTCTTCTTCACTGAATCTTCAGGTATGTGCTTTAGACAGGATTAATCTGTCCTGTGATAAGAAAACATTGACTTCATTCATTCATCTTATGTTCACATTGTTAGATGGGTTCCTAAGCATTATTGTATAGAAAATTGTGTAAAACTTGTTTTTCAGTTGATCTGATGACATTTTCTAAAAGTAAAAGAAGCACTGTAAACATCAGCAGTGTAGCATGTTGAAGAATGACTTGGGTAAAGTAAATAAATATTGAACAAATCAGTCTGGTTTTGTAGGGTGTCGTGGGTTAGGCCGCTCCAGCAACCAAACCCTACACAGTCGCTCACTCCCCCACCCCCCAGGGATGCGGGAGAGAATCAAAGAAGAAAAAGAAGAGAGACCCGTGGGCTGAAATAAGAACAATTTACTACTACCACTACCTATATATATATGTACGGATATGTACAAGGATAAATATATACAAACAAGTGATGTACAGTGTAATTGCTCACCACCCCTTGACCGAGGCCTGTCTCTTCCCAAAGCTGCAATCCCGAAACAGATAATCCCGATACCGCAATCCCGGATGAATGGGAGGCCCGAAATAGCGAGAGAGAGAGAAAGCACTCTGAGAGTCTAAAAGCCCTTCTTTCCGGCTGACCCTCACTTTTATACTGGGCATGACGCTGCATGATATGGAATACTAATTGGCCAATTTGGCCCTCAATCCTAAATCCAAGTACAAATCGTAAGGACAGTTGTGGACTCCCCATCCCGGCCATGCTCCCCCCTATCCTGTTGTGCTCCTGCGCACTGGCAAGAACACAGCAAGCGGAAAAGTCCTTGAGACCTCAGTGCCAACTACAAACATCAGCTTGCTGTCAACATTCTTCTCAGAGCGAGCCTCTGAGTAAAACCAAAACACGGAGCTCTTCTAGCTGCTAAAAAGAAGAGCTAACCCTGTCCCAGCTGAAACCAGGACATAGGGTTTGCAATGTCGTGAATATACGCCTTGTAACTTCAATTGACTGTTTGCTCTTCCTTGATGGCTTACAGATTTAAGGGTTTCCATTGTGCTACTTGAGTTAAGCCGACTCGTTATATTTAAACTGTACTGGTAAGTCATGAAAACAAATGACTTGATTTTCCTTTTTTTCACTAGAAATGTTTTGGGTTTTTTTAAGTCTCTGTAGAGATGGAGAAGGAAAATAGCCTTGCCAGTAGGCAAGATCGTGTAGAGCTTAAGAAAAGTTAGTGAATGTCTATTTGCTGAAAGGTGTAAAGACATTTTGAGGTGTAGAGTGAGAATCTTGATTCTCTACCCATGACCAGAACATCTGTCTTTGCACTTTCCTTGGAAACTTCCTTCTTAAAAGGTGACTCTGGTTAGGATGTGTTTTTTGTTTGTTCTAATACTTACTTCATGGGTAGAAGGAGTGTCTGTTTTCATGACCTTACCTTTCTCCCCTGCTGCTAAGAACAAAATAAATTCCACTGCTGTCCTCTTTCGTCTCTCATTCTTCTTGTCATTTTGTGCCATAAATTTTGTGTATGCCCTCTAGAAACTTGACCAGAACAGTAATGCTCTTGAATTTCAATGCTGCCCAAAGAGCAGAAAATCAAAAATTTATAATGGCTAGCCTCAATGCTTGAACTCCCCAACTTGAAACAGCAGTTACCAGCAAGTGAGATAATCAAAATTATGGATTTGTTTTCAGTAGTTCCATATTTTACCTTTGTGGCTTAGTTTTGAGAGTAGATTGGGATTTTGCAGAATTTAATCACTTAAACATTGTCATTTGTTATTTGTTTGGGGTGAGGATCTTGAAAGTTTAGCACAAGAATTTAAGAGGGTAAGTCAGACATAACTAAGAATTGTTGTAACACGTTGCTTTCTTCTAATTGCTCGTTAAAGTCTCTATTATCAAACTTTATTACCTGTTGCATTTCATGTTTTTTATTTTAATCACTTTTTTCTACTTCCTTCTGTACTAAAAGGTAAAATGGCTGCATCTTGGTTCATGTCGCCTAGTTTCAAAGATGATATTTGAATATGAATGTTATCATATCTTGATTTAAATATTCTGGCTTTAGTAAGCATTGAGCACTTTCAGCCTGTGGTTCACAGATATATTATTTGTTATTTGCAATGAGGAGCTTGTTTGACAGAATCGTTTTTCATTATATTGGGAACTTCCCAAGTAGTATACTGGGTGTTGTGGTCAATGTTGAACTGTTCAGTATTCTGGACTTTGATACTGAATCTACTGTGTAGGTGACTCTGAAGAAAAACAAATACCCACTGAAGTTGCAGAAAGTAATTTTGTACTGGAGTACTATTAACTTCCTGAAATAGTCATTTCTCATACCATCTGTGTTCGCTCACCAACTGTAGATCTTCACAGATTGTGTTCCTTTTCAACGTCAGTCACCTATCAATTACTTTGAGGTTTGAGTAAGTTACCTGCTGTAGCTGTATGAATAGTCTTTGAAGGAGGACAACCAGAGAGGAGAATAAACATCTATCTTGCACAAAATTAATTTCAAGACAGTTTAATGTTGGCAAGCATCAACAGTGTTAGAACTTGCCTCTCTAGCTAGGCTACGGGCTTGTACCAATGCAAAATAATAAACCAAGACTGAAGTCTGAATCGTGTTTGACCACTTGGATGACACAATCCCGCACACTGCGGTGTTTGTTGAGCAGATGGCTCATAACGTTATCCATAGAAGATGGGAGCATGAATGGCTGCTCTTAAAACGCTCTTCACTATTGTTCTGTAGAACTTTCTGATGTATAGTTGGGATTATTTTACTTCTACAGTTTATACACTTGTGTATAGGTGTGATGCAATATGTACAGAGTTAACACTTTGCTTCATCTGGGTTATTATCCAAGAGGCACGTGTAGGTAATCTATAAGTCCTGCACTAGAGATTTACTGTGTACAAAATGCTTTGTATGCTAAGGACTCAAGACTGAGTGGAATTTCAGAAAAAAAACGAGTATCATATATCCTGGTTTACTTCAGTGATTAGACTGTTAATAGAAAAGCATCAGTTAAGTTTTTGTTTTCTTGGTTGCTTGTAAGTAAAGATGTTGAAAATTAGTTGAGTATACAGTAGGTAAACTTTTTTCCAATTGTGTCTTTACAGGAGTACCAAAGTCAGATCTTCTACATACAAGATCTTTAAGAGGGCACAGAGACTGCTTTGAAAAATTCCACTTAATAGCAAATCAGGACTGTCCGCGATCAAAGCTCTCTAAAAGTCCATATGCAGAAGTAAAAAATATCCTGAGCAGAAAAATTAGCTGGATCATACAGTACGCACAAAACAAGGATTTAGACTGTGATCCTGAAAGCTCAAAAACAACCCAGCACCAACTTTTTAACTTCAGACATCAGACTGAGAGAAAGTTACTCCCACAGGTTGAATCTCCAGTACCTAGATACTCTGCGAAATGGATAGATGGAAATTCTGGGGGCATCTCGAGCTGCTCACAAACTCTTTTGGAACAAAGAGAATCCACTGATTTCAGACTTGGTGTGTTACAAGAAGCAGGTACCACCTTCTGTTGCAGCAGTGTTTTGTGGTCTAATCACAACCAAGCCCAGAAAGCTGAAAAAGCTGAAGGCGCTTCACTCACCAGTGCTCGTAGAAAGCATCCTCAGTACAGCAGGGAAGAATGTAAGTATATATCTATTTACATGCAACCTGGCAAACAAGAGCATTCTTTGATGTATCTCTTGACCATTTAATGTCCCCATAGGACATTAATTCACAGCCTGAAATACAGCTTTTAACAGTTCGGAGTTACTGTAAAATCTGTGAAGATAAAGGCTACACGACTAAGCAAATAGTGTTGAGAGTATGGTTGGTGTGGGGGTTTTGTTTGGTTGTTACACCCTGATGTGATACAGGACATGCCTAATTTGCAAAAAAATTACTGTTACCATTGATTGCAGTCACTTTAACGTGTCAGTCCTGGCAGTTGCACAGTCCTGCCTGTGGAGATTACTAAGCTCCTGAAAAAAACTGTCTTAATGAACTTGTGCGGTGGCTTGAGTTACCTTTTAGAGAGCTGCCCTAAGCAATAGGGGAAATTAGAGGTAAGGTAGCAGAGCAAACTTGTGAAACAACATAAAATTAAACATTCTCAACAGTAACAGACTTTCCTTGTGTGTTTTACTAGGATGAGGTGGTTTTTTTTTCCTTCTGTTTATTGGGCATAAGAAAATGAGAAAGCCCTTGTGCCACCATGTCCCATTAAAGTCTGTAGCAGTAGACCTGAGCAATACTTTTGATGACTGTAGTGATACTGAAAGCAGCGGAAAATAAGTTTTCCTGTTATTTAAGGTCCCTAGAAAAAGTATTTAGAAAAATCTAGGATATTGTAGTGTCTCTGAAATTGACCTACATGAAATGTGTTAGGAGTAAGTTCTTGGAGATCTCTGCAGTTACTATCCTGCTTTTAGAACAGGGCCTGGCCCTAAACTGGAATACATCCACTCTTACTTCTGTAGATGAGAGAAGTAGTTGGAGAGGGTTTCTGAATTTCAAAAGACCTGAGAAAGACAAAAATAATCTTAAAATATTCAGTGGAAAACTAGGTAATGAAAAAGAAGATACTAATGGAATTCAGAATGTTGGAAGAGAGTGTGAGAAAGAGGTACTGTAAAAAGTTGGAATCAGTTTTTTTAGGCTACCATTTTTTTAATAAAGTAACAAAATTGTCCTTGCAAAGTCTAATCATTTCCCATTCTTTATAAAAGGATTCTAACTGCTGTATGATGCTTTATATTGCATTTGTAGTGAATTAGTTGTCTTAAAGCCATAAATCAAAACAGATATGCTGTGCTGTTTGACCACCTGTCCTCTGGACTCATAAATTGGGATTACATAAATCAGGACAGCAGTTAACAGGAATTATGAAAGCTTGGCCTGGTTTATGGGGTTATCTAACTGAAGTTAGTGACTTGGAATTTATCTCTCTGATCTCTGATTTTGGGACGGGGGACCATAAAGCTCCTTTGAGCATGATAACAAGGGGTTTTTTTTCTTCTGTCATTACTGTGTAATGCACTTCTGAAGCATTTTTGCTTTGTATTATAAAGTTTTTTAATCTTTTTACAATATTTAGCTTTAAGAGACATTGATTTGGAGACTCTATGATTGTATAAAGTTTATATTTTAGATAAAAAGTCAAGCTTTTTCTGCTAGAATTAGGTACCACCTGATTGCAGTACTTGCACTTTAACAAGATAGCATTTTACTAAAAAATTAGGTTGTTAATGAAAGTGTAAATGGCTTGGTCAGTATCTCTAATTTACCTCAGTCATGGATAGAACAATCTCTTCTTTAAATTTGGTGGTCTGTTCCTTCTCCCTTTCCCTTCTGTATAAGAATTGTGACATGAAACAGTCTGTCCTGATACACACATGAAATGTGTGAACCTACCTATCTGCTACAGTTGATGAAATGTTGATGAAAATAATGAAGAAATGGAAATTAACAGCCTAACACTTAGTATGGGAGGAGGGAAAAATTATTTTTAAAGCCGTCAATTACTATATTAAATCCAGTCAAGATTTTCATGGAGCTTAAAAAAATGTTAACTTAAAAGATGATAAGATGTGAAAAAGCTATCGATAGAACAGAAGATTCTTGAAGGTAGGAAGGAGCAGCACCGTACCTGGCTGTTGGAGGAGAAAGGTGGATCTATTTCTCCTAAATTGCTTTATGTCTTGAGTAACAAGTAGGTTATCTTGGCTGCTGCCAACTTCTTTGGTTTGGCAATAGCAAGAGAAAGTTAATGTCCTACAAGTGCAAGATGTGAGAAGGGTAGACAGCTTCGAATAGTCCCGTGGGTAAGTAAAAACTGTCCTGTTCAGAATTTAGGTTTTAAATTTACAATATAGAAAATTCCTGCACTGAGAAATGTCTGAACGAAAGCTGCGTGATTGCAGCGTAGGTTTTTCCTAAGTATGCAGTGAGAGGTTTGCTAAGCTGCAGCATTACTTAAAAACAAAATTTAAAAATTACAAGGTCTTAAATCATGTTTTGGTGCCCTATATCCTCTTGTGGTGATCAGGATTGTCACTTTCCACCATGCTGCCTAGAGCTTCTCAGCAACAGGAATGGCACCGACCTGTGCCCACCACTGCCAGGTTGAGGGATTTCTAGGAAGCAGGCCAGTGGTTCCCTACTAGCTACTGTTGCTGCATAGAATACTTTCACAACTCCCTCCTCTGAGGTTTAATATATATTTGCTATAAGGATGATCAATGTACACATAACCTGATGTCGTGGGTTAGGCCGCTCCAGCAACCAAGCCCTACACTGTCGCTCACTCACCCTCCCCCACCTCCAGGGATGACGAGGAGAATCAAAGAAGAAAAAGAAAAGAGACCCGTGGGTTGAGATAAGAACAATATACTACTACCGCTACCGATATATATGTATGGATATGTACAAGGATAAATACATACAAACGAGTGATGTACAGTGTAATTGCTCACCACCCTTGACTGAGGCCCATCTCTTCCCAAAGCTGCAGTCCTGAAACAGATAAATTCCGACACCACAATCCTGGATGAACGGGAGGCCCTGAAATAGTGAGAGAGAGAGAAAGCACTCTGAGAGTCCGAAAGTGAGAGTCCCAGAAGAGTAAAAAGCCCTTCTTTCCGGCTGACCCTCACTTTTATACTGGGCATGACACTGCATGATATGGAATACTAATTGGCCAGTTTGGCCCTCAATCCTAAGTCCAAATACAAATCGTAAGGAGAGAGTAATTGTGGACCCCTTGTCCCAGCTATGCTCCCCCCTTATCCTGTTGTGCTCCTGCACACTGGCAAGAACACGGCAGCTGAAAAGTCCTTGAGACCTCAGTGCCAACTACAAACATCAGTGCGCTGTCAGCATTCTTCTCAGAGCGAGCCTCTGAGTGAAACCGAAACACGGAGCTCTTCTAGCTGCTGAAAAGAAGAGCTAACCCTGTCCCAGCTGAAACCAGGACACGTGAGATACAGAAAGGCTTTTGAGTGATGCAGAGAGTCTTTTAGTTTCACTAGGAACATGGCACAAGAAAGTGAGAAGTAAACCTATTTTTATATGCTGATCTTTGTATCAGACTAAGATTATTTTTTTTCTTCATCATTTGTCACTCAGGTATGCAGTGGAAACTGTATATATTATTCTTACATGTGTAAAGCGCAAAACTTCATAGCCAAAACAGGGAGCTGTGTGCTGAACACTCTGTCCAGAGGCCAATTCCTGTAGGCTTGCAGACATAGCAGGATTTACCTCAGGATGGTCCACTTGCCCACAGTTAAGCAGATGTACTTGCAGATGGGTTACACTATGGGAACTGCGTTTTGCATAAAGTATTTCAAGGTGTCAGGCAATTCTGATTCTGGACGTTTCTGTTTTGAGGGCTTGAGTTTCCAGCTTTTTGACATTGAGGAAGGGGCTTTCCTATGAAGTAAACCCTTGTCTGTCAACATAAAAGAGAGAATTTTCAAACTTTCCACAAATGACTGGTAGATACTGTTGCCTCTGACTTACTGCCACACATCTGTTGATTATTGGGATGCACATGCCAATTTGAGAAAATAGGACTCTTCTTAAGAGATGCTTATGTGACTTCAATAGTAGTAATAACAGATTTTATTGTTACAGTGACTATGATGACTCCTGGAGAGTTAAAGCAACTTAATGAAAAACTGCTCAAGCAAATCCAGGGTGAGAATTTTTCAGTACTCTTTGGTTTGGGTTTGTGTTGCTTTGTAGTAAAGAAAATGTTGTTAAAAAAAAAAAAATTGTGATGGCTTTACTGTCAGTGAAGTTTTGAACTGAAATCTGTGTATATTTCCATATAAACCAAGAAACTTCTAGGTGCTTTTTTTATGTAACCTCACTGGGCATTGCAAACTGGCACTTCAGTATTTTCGTTAAGTTTTTTGACTGGAATCCACTTCATTTTGAGTTATAAACTGATCCACCTTTGCTCAGATCCCCTAAAACTGTGAACTGGTGATCCTGGTCTTGTGCCTCTCTTATGGTAACGTTCAGTGCTGCTTCTTAACTCCATGAAGGTTCGGAGACCAAGTGCATTAACCTGCTAATGTTCTTGCAGATGTGTTTGAAGAGCTGGCGCAGCAAGTCCAAGAAAAGGACTCTTTGGCCTCAGAGCTCAATGTCCGTCATATTGCTATTGAGCAGCTGCTGAAGAACTGCTCCAAACTGCCATGTCTACAGATGGGACGAGCAGGGATGAAATCAAATGTCCCCATATAAAGGGGATACAGCTTCTATCCCCCTGTAGAGCTAACTTTCCCAAACAGCTTTGATAACCATTCCATACAGCTGCACAGATATCTGGAAGCTCTTGAGGAATCTGGGGCAGCTTTCTCTTTGCATTCGTAATCCATAAAATCCACTTTGGCTTTAACAAAAAGGGCAAATATTTTAGATATTAAAATATACTGTAGTAAGGTTTATTCACGCTTAGGGATTGTCTTTTTTTTGCCCATAACTACGCATGAGCCTTGAAATGAATTCTGTGTTTTGTTGATAATAAAATTGTTTCTAACAAAGAACGACCTGACGCCTTTAACTTGCCTCCTTCATAAAGAGGAAAAATAAAAATTTGAGTTTTGATCAGGTCTGATCATGTTACATCCAAGAGAGCTTTAAGGGGAGAACAGTATTAATAAAACTCATGTTTTCTTATTTATTACAAGCAATATTTTATTACTGAAATTTTATACTAAATAAATACACTATTTTAGGTACTTTTCCAGATCTCTTTATAAAACGTCTGAATTACTCTGTGTAATGTTTATGCCTTGTGTATGATTGTTTATCCTTTTTCAGGTCTGTTTCTTTCATGATACAATTTTAAAAAAGAAAAAAAACACAACTTTTTTCCCAAAGAGATGAATTTCACATGTTAAAGGAAAAAAAAAAAACCATGGTGGTGCATCACTTATTTTTATCAGCTTTCACAGCACTTCCTTTTAATTTAAAAAAATAAAATCCATACTTTGGTTTTAATGGATAGAAGTTGAAGTTGTTTTATATGTGTGAACTTTTCAATGCTGAAAAATTACTTTGACGAAGCTAAATAAATTTGTAATACTATATTACCTTGTTATGAGTCTTTTGTAAAGTTGGATCAGACTATTATAAAGTGTTTTCACTTTGAAATGCAAATAGTGGTGATACATTATAAATCAGAACAGCCTCTGCTTTTTTAAAAAGTTCTTAAGTTTGCCATACTGAGAAGTCTTAGTTAATCTTTGACAGAAAGACTGTAGGACTGTGTTTATGTAACTGAAAGGTCCTGAGTTCCGCTGAAAAAGTCAGGGGTGGGGGGAAGACTTCTTCCCCCACACACTAAAGTCTTTGTGCTTTCCGATTGTGTCACTTCAAGTGAAAACAAGGAGTAATTCATATAGCTGAGCTGAAAGATTGATGAGCATGAAGAAAGGTGAAGATGTTGGTTTAAAATCAGACTGAGAGGTAAGCTGCAGTTCATGCTAGGTTTATTGATCGCTCTCCCTACAGTTATACCTGGACTACATAAGACAGGTTAATTAACTTTTTTTTTTTTTTCCGTAATGCATTTCTGCAAGAGCCCTGAAAGGGGTTTGGAACAGCTAATCCCTGATTATAGTTGTCAGATGATGGATTCATCTCCATGTGCAAGTCTATAAACCTTATTAATACAGCACTAAGATAACTGCACATGTAAGGCAAGAGGAAAAGTGCTGCTGTTTCTGGTAGCTGAAAACGACCATCCTACCGGCCGAGTGAGAATTCCCCATGTGTCTGATCAGACTGATAAGGGTCTTGATTTCACTTCACTGTATATTGAGGAGAATTAAGTTGCACTTCCACTTTTGCTGCTTGCTCTTGTGGGAACTAAAAGCAGAGCATCTACAGTTCCAAGTCCTTCATACTACATTTCCTTTATTTGTTGTTACATTAGGTTTTTTATCTGAAGAACGGTGTGGGGGCTGATGTTGGTTTTAAGATGGTGTCCTGGTTTTGCTGGGGTAGAATCACAGAATCAGTTTTCCGTTCAGAGAAGCTGTGTTTCTGCAGTAAGCTGTGTTTTCAAAAAGACTGTAGTACCCAATTCGGTGGGAACAGAGTTGATAAGACACTTTGGTTTAGTCTGTAGCCAGCCATGGTATGCAGGCATCTGTAGTGCTCAAGGACTTTCCAGCTTGTTTTTGCCTGTGACCTAGATGTCCAAGAACCTGGTGGGAGTGTGGCCAGGGAGATTGATGCTAAATTGGCAAATGGATATTCCATACCATGTAACATCATGCTCACTATAAATTGGAGTTTGTTGGGGATGGGCACTTTGCCCCTTCTTGTCGCTCTCACTCTCTGTTTCTCAATGGCCACCATCCCTGGAGGGTCTCGCTCATCATTCTGCTCCCGAGGCTGCTTCTGTCTCTCCTGGGATTGCGGTTTCAGGGCTTTCCTGCACTGGGATCACTGGCTGGGAACGGGCTGGATGTTGGTCAAAGGGTGGTGAGAAATTGCACCGTACATCACTCGTCTGTCTATATTATTAATTTTTTTCCATTTTGTTTTATTTCACTTATTAAATAGTTCTTATCTCAACCTACAGGTCTTTTTCCTTTTCCTGATTCCTCATCTCGAGTGAGGAGGGGTCATTGGGTAGTAGAACAGGTGGCTATTGCTTAGCCCCAGATACAGGCTAAATGTAGGCAGGTGGATTATAATTAGGAAGGATAACTTTTGGGGCACATAAGCTGCGGAAGCACAAATTCTTTTTTATCATTTGCCCTCAATACGATTGTGAGTCAGAGGAAAAGGAAAGCATACAGCTAGCGTATGTGCTTAAAAGAAAGTAACTATATAGCTGTTTCTTCTTCGTAAGCTCAAGATGCAGAGGGGGCCAGTATGTACCCTGACTGTCTGGCAGCTCTGAATGGGAGCTGCTGCTGCGCGTCTCCAGCCCAGAGGAGTTCAGGAAGATAGAAGCAGCTGTGTTCTTGGGTACTCTGGTTTAAAATAATGTGTTACAAGACTTTCACTGAGAAACCTGTCTGGTGTAAATCTCGCATTAAATCTGAGTTGTTTCTGTGTGTGAAATGCTGATCCTTCAGATACGAGATGCGTGTATTTTGAGTGAGTAGTGAGCAAGGTTCATACAAGGTGGGAGGGGAGAAAGACTTGCATTTGCAAAAGTTATATTTAAGGCAATGAACACCTATCAAATAAAATCCAATTTGAGACTCTTAACAGCTTAAAACTTAGCAGTTTTCATTTTCATTATAAGCTGTTGCTTATTTAAAATGGTAATAAGAAGTGGCCAGAAAGTGGCATACTTAGACAGAAAGATCTTAATTAAATGCTCTCTGAAAACATATGCAGAATTGATACATGTTTGTTTTGTGGGGATTTTTTTTGTGGTTGTTGGGCGCCAGCGCTGGCTTGGTTTGGTTGGTCGTTGCACTTGTTGGATTCCTTGTGAAGCTCACTCTTCACCAGTTCAGGTCGTTCCTGCTACGTTACTTCCTACAACATACAACTCACATCACAGATTATTTTTCCCCCCCTGGGTTAAACCTCCTTGAGGCACACACTGGGTCTCCCCATCCTTCTGTGTTACCCACCAAGTACACCCAAGTCCTTGAGCGATAATCCCATGAATAGACTTGCCTTTTCCCAAGGGTGGAGCAATCCACACCGCCTTCCCCAGCCACTTCCCTGTATGGGACCTTATTTCTTCTCACAGTATGTAGGAGTTTTGTTTGGGCGGAACCAGGATGGTTAGCAGACCCTCTGGTGTTAACGAGCCAGATGGCTTCTGCTAAATTTATATCTCACTGTTTCCATGCCTCATTGCCCAAAGCTCCCAACATAGTCTCTAGCAGACCATTATATCTCTCAGTCTTTCCAGAGGTTTGTGGGTGATAGGAGATGTGATACATCCACTCAATGCTGTGCTTCTTGGCCCAGGAGTTTATGAGGTTATTTCGAATTGGTCCGAAATTGTCGGATTCAATTCTTTCTGAGGTACCATGTCACCACAAACTTTGCCTTGTAAGGCCTAAGTTGGTGTTTTGGGCAGTGGCAAGGTTCCGGGGGTATGTTTCGAACGAACTGGTAGTTGACTCCACCATGGGGAGTGTGTAGCGCTTGCCCTGGTGTGTTTGTGGCAGTCGTCCAATTTAGCCAAGTTGCCAGGCCTCGTCATGTCAAAAACCCAGCTGCCATCCTCTGTTACAGGGAGACTTCACTGGTGTGGCTCGCTTGGTTGCGGCCCATGTTTCACACTCCAGGGTGACCTCTGTGATGGCCTCCAGGGTCAGATCCGCCCATCGATCACAAGCCCATCTGTATGCTGCTTCCCTCCCTAATTGCAATATTTTTATTGATAATATGTTCCTTTGTTAAAAAATAGAATTCAGTTTCTGCCTTTGCAAAACAATGTACAAACAAAGGCCATGCTGACGCACCCCTCCATGTGTGCAGAGGAGTGAGGGGAGCTCATAAAAATATTCACCTAAACTGAATTCTGAAACCTTTTGTTACTTTATTTGTAATGCAGTGCCTGGAGACTCCAACCGTGAGAACACAGCTGGATCTAAGGCTTGATGAGACAGTAATTAAATTCACAAGGAGGAGTCTTACTCGATCGAAACAAGATTCATAGGAGCATAAAAGAGCATACCACAAAGTTAGATCCATTTAAGAGCTTAATCTATTCTTTTCATGCAGATTCTTCCTTTTTTAGGAACAACTCAGTAACTGCATTATGAAAATGTTGCTCTCCCTTTTTCCTAACTGGGGATCTCACATTGGGCAGGAGTATTCTCTTAGCACCCCTGAATGATAATGCATGTGCTGCTTTCCATGCCAACAAACTATTTCCAGAAAGCAGGTAGGGGGCTTGGGGTGTGTTACTGCTTTTTAATTAATCAAACCCTTGTGTGGGAAAATAATCCAAATTGAGGAAATGGAAAAATACTGCTTTGCAAAGTTCAGCTCAAAAGCTGCAATACTAAAGGTAGCTTTGAGGCAAGGAGCAGCTGTTGCTCCCAGCAACACAATGCGGTTGGCATGGCCAAGGCCTGCCCTGGCCGAACAGAACACGCAATGTCCTTGACATGGGGAGCAGAGTGGTACGAAGGTGTCACAGCTCGTCCCTATGCTCAGAGATCAAAGAATGGCTGGCAAAGGAAATCACACAACTGTCAAGGAAGACAGATCGTGGCCCTCGCCTCAACAATGGTGAACCTAGCCAGGCGTTCACCTAGGCCATTTGGACCTGTTAATATTTAACAAGTTGCCAAATGGCTAGCCTTTGGGTGAACTTTGCTCATTATAATATCATTATAATACTAAATCACACCTCCACCTCAAAAGCTACCCACCTCCAGGCTGCGACCACCCCTCACTGAGCAG